CTGATCGAGATGTTTGATTTACTTCACGATTTTGGCAGAGGTTCCACGAGGAACTGGGTACGAGATTGCTCTTCATCACCACCTATCATCTGCAGACCGACGTCTAGAGCGAGCGGACCATACAGACACTCGAGGATATGTTGAGAGCTTGTGTCATAGATTTCAGTGGGAGTTAGGACTCCTACCTTCCCCTAGCTGAGTTTTCTTACAATAACAGGTATCACTCTAGTATTGGTGTGCCGTCTTTTGAGCTTCTTTATGGGAGGAAGTGTTGTACCCAGTTTGTTGGGGGGGGTAGCGGTCGGTCACAAGGTTATGTGAAAGACCGAGGTGGTCCTTCAGACGAAATATCTTATCCAGAAAATCAGGCAGAGGTTGCAGACAGTTGAGATTCGGCAGAAATGTTATGCTAACAGACGTCAATCCAAGTTGGAGTTCCAGGTCGAAGATATGGTGTTACTGAAGGTATCACCATGGAAGGGTGTAATACGCTTCAAGAAGAGGGGAAAGTTGTAGGTAGGCAAGGTGGCCTATCGTTTGAACCTACCTGAGAAGCTTAATCAGATTCACAACACCTTCCATGTTTCTTAATTGCGTAAGTTTGTAGCTTATGATTCAGCAGTGATTCCTTTAGACGATATTCAGGTTGATGACCGCATGAACTATGTTGAGAGGCCTATGGCAATTTTGGATAGGAAGACGAAGGCTTTGCGCAACAAGGTGGGACCATTAGTCAAGGTTCAGTCGTAGCATCGAAAGGGTTCTGAGTGGACTTGGGAACCCAAGGCAGAGATATGGGAGCACTATCCAGAGTTATTCATAGCATCGGACTTTGAGGATAAAGTTTGATTCAAGTGGGGGAGAATTGTAACACCCAGACAATCAGGTATTTACATTATTATCTTAAGTATATAAAAAAATCGTTGCAAAAATGGTCCTTACGCCATGCGTACTTGGGGCGTATGCATGGCGTAATTCATTAAAAGGAGTGTGGGTCTTCATGAGTACACATAGCGTACTCAATGGGTACGCAGGGCGTACTCATCAGTTATGAAAACCGTAAATTCGGGGTTTTGAGCACTATTTAAGCAACATAACCCTCATAAATCCCTTCCACCTTCAGCCTCCATCCTCCTAAATGACCCCTTGCAAACCCTAATCACCATTTGAGAGTTTTTGAGCTTTTTGAGTGTTTTGTATTCATCCTTGAAGGAAGGAGTCCATTGGAGAGCATTTGAGGAGCATCAAGCTTTGTGGATCTGGAACTTTCATCTCTCTAGCAACCTCCAGAAGGTATAAAGTTCTGAACTTGATGAACACTTCATTAGATCTTGCTAGTCCTTGAGTTTTTGTGCCTTTTGGTCCCATAATCTTGGTATATATGAGTTTGGCTTACTCTAGAACAAATGAGTTGTCCTTTTAGATGTTTTTGAGTGTTTATGGTCATAAAAATATGATCTTCGTCCCTTTCTCCCATCCATGCAAGATTTATGAAGCTTGGGTTTTGGGTAGAAAATTAGAGTTTGGATTTTGAGCACTTCTAGTCATGCAAAGTCATAAAGTTGGAAACTTAATGATTTAGAAGGTTATTTGGGACTAGATCTGAGTTCTGGACGTGAGGTCTTAATGGAATAAGCACTTATTGAGGAAACTGAGAGTTGGTCGAGTACGCAGGGCGTACAAAGTGGTACGCAATGCATAGTAGGTGAAGGCCCTGTAACCACGAAAGGACTTCACTATGCCATGCGTAGTGATTGAGTACGCAATACGTACTCAACCTGTATTGACTTTTTGACTTTTGACTTTGACTTTTGACCATAGATTTGACCCTATTTGACCTAATGACATTTTGGGTAATTTGAATAGTATTTTGAGATTAGGTCCATGTTTATTGTATAGGTGACCTGTAGAGATAACATTTGGAGCAATGAGCTACTCAGCTACTTTTCCGACTGTGAGGTGAGTTTTCCTCACTGTACTTGTGGGTCGAAGGTACCAATGCCGACCCTCTAAGTTATGTATCTTGGTTTAGGATGTTGCTATGCTATAGTGATCTGTTAAGATATGTATGATTATCTCTTTGTTGTTATATGTTTTATCTGTTGCATATGTCGACATGGTGCGGTTGGGTTAAGGCAATCCTGCTCTGTGTCGAAGCTAACAAACCTGGGAGCAAACCAAATATAAGTTGTGCGCCAGAAAGGCAAGCCAAAATTATGTTTTAGGCTCGAGAGCAAGCCAGACATAAGCTGAGGGCCGGTAAGGCAAGCCAGACTTATGATGTAGGCTCGGGAACAATCCATACATGAGTTGTGGTCCGGGAGGGTAATCCAAACTCATGTTATGGGCTCAAGGGTAATCCAGTCCAATGGTTATGCTCCTAGTATGCATGCTGTTATTTGATGTGTGGTGGTATTTTAGGGGAACTCACTAAACTTTGGCTTACAGTTTGATTTATGGTTTCAGGTACTTCAGAAGAAAGGGGAAAGACGAAGACTTGATCATGTACATCATCTTGGATTTATGTGTTTTTGTAAATTTGGGATACTCTGCTTCATGATAGTGACTTTTGTGAACTTATGCATTTTTTGATGGTTTTAAAAATGAAAAATTTTCCTTGATTTTGGGATTTTACAATACTCAAGTATAGTCCATTTTTAACGACGCAACACATTAAAAAAGAAGAAGCCTACACTTGCTATGAGATTCCATGATATGGATCAATTAAAAACCATGTTATGTAACTATGATGTTGCCAATAGGTATCAAATTTGTTTTGAAAAAAATAATAGAAAAGGGTTGTTGTTTATTTGTTGCAAGGGTCAATGTGCATTCAGGTTGTGGGCAACTTGGATGCGTGATGAAAACCTTACAGAACAAGTCTTTGAAAGAAGACCATAATTACACTAGGAACTACAAGTTGGGGTAATTGGTTATTTATGCTTAGATAGGGAGTCACTATATAAAAGAAATCATACATAGATAGAAGATGAGTGTAAGAAAATTAAGGCTACAAGTGATTAAGAAATTTGGAATTTGTGTTGGTCTAAGTCAATATAGTAGAGCCAAAAAATATGTTACAATTAATAGAATGAACTCTTGTTGAACACTATTAAAAGTTGTCATCATATAGTGACGAAATAAGGAGATCAAAGCTAGGTCCATCATGAAACTTGAAGTTACTACAATGCCACTATTTTTTTAAGTCTATGTTTGTTTTGATGGATTGAAGAATGGGTGGAAGGAGGGTTGTAGAAAGATAATAGGACTATATTGTTGTTTTCTTAAAGAGATGTGTATGGGAGAGTTGTTACGTATTGTTGGCAAGGATGCAAACAATCATATTTATCCCATTACATGGGTTGTTGTGCATGTGGAGAATAAGGAAAATTGGAAGTGATTTTTGGATCTACTTATTAATAACTTAGGTCTAAATTTTGGTTATGAATACAATTTAATGTCAAATCACACACAATGTATTCATTTTATTTCCATATTATGGATACAAATCAACGTTTATAGCTAATCATTACACCTACGAAAATGTGTTAACATGGTCTTATTAAGGCATACATAGAGTTGTTACCATATGTAGAGCACAAACAGTATGCTACGAACATCTAACAGAACTTGTAGAAAAGGTATGGTGGTGGTTACTATGTAACATTATTCTAGCTTATAAGGCATCTACCGACCAGGTTTTTAATGAGATCATGTAAGAGATGCATTCCTTAAACACAAGTTCTCATAAGTACCTCATGGACAAATACCCTAAGACTTGGCCAATAGGAGTCTTTCAAACATGGGAGATATTGTGATCTTGTAGAGAATAATTATAACAAAAGAGCTTGTATTTTGGGAAACCCCCCCCCCCCCCCCCCCCCCCCCAAGGTAACAGTCGTGAGAAACAAAAGAGAAAGAGTTGTTAGTGAAGTAGAGGGCGGGTAAATTTTTGTTAATTTTAGTGTTATTTTTTACATATTTATATGTATTTTGGTATATTGGTTTTTACATATTTATGTATTTTTTTTACTTATATTTCACTGTAAGCTAACTATTAGACATTGTAAATGAAAAGAAAAAACACTAGAGTACTTCAAAATAAATATTTTTCAAAGACGATCCTTAGAAATAAATTCTTCAATTTTTTCTTGAATTCAGTTTGTAGATGAACAAAGTTTATGAATATCTATTTTAAAAAAATATAACTTAATCATTAATTTTCCCAAAATAATGGGATTTTTCTAAAGATTTTCCATAATAATTATAAATTATTTGGCAATATACTAAAATAAAATATAAAATAAGAAAGATAGTTACGGGTCACTTGTTCACGATCAAAATGATTCACAATATTTATAATTTTACAGCTTCTAATTAACACATAACAATTGATTTCTTATATATTCATACCAATAACATTCTATTAGAGATCATTTAAATATTTATGTCAATATAAAAGTATAAATAACAATTCTTAATATTAAATTGATCACAACCTTTAGTACTATATCTGTTTTCATTATTTGTACTATGTTTTTTTTTTTCTAATTATACCTTGGTTGCATTATTAGCTATTGTGTTTTGCTTTCCTACTTTTTGCTTTCCTACTTTTTGCTGCAACTGCAACTGTACTACATAGCTAAAAGAAGGGACGACCAAGAAAAACTATGTGATGCGCTTTCTCTCTACCTTAAGGGTTAAGTATTCACAGAATTAACATGCGAGGGGGGTGAAGCAAAAATGAGAAGCTGCGCCGACGCTGGATAGGTGAAGCAGCGCCGTAGAGGAATACAAAAGCGTCTTGTTTTTATTCTATAATTTAATACAAAAAGTAGATATTTATGACCAAATTAAGCTTCGTAAATGGGATTAGCAAGAAAATGGAAAGCCACATTGGAAACTGCGATCTCTCGTAATTTTATGGAGGGACTAGAATCCCTTCGTCTTCTTCCCTTTTAATCTCTGCTAAACTCACTCCGTAGCCAAGTTTTTAGAAAATGGCCAACACAAGCGGCACTTGGACGATCAAGCCGAACCAGCAACAGTTGCAAAATCGAAAATGTGAAAGCTTTTTAGACGTCGTCTTCTCTTGGTCTTTGTCGGATATACTGAACAAAGATCTCTACAAGTTGCAGGTTTCTTTTATTCTTCTGTTAATTTTTTCTGGCATCTGTTCGTGAATGCACGCATGCAGCTGGACTTATAAACACGGAGTTTCTGATGAAGATCTTATGTTCTTCACAGGTGAAAGAAATTCCGTTGACGTTTTCATCTACAAATGACTATGTGAATTCATTCATCTTTCCGCTTCTCGAGGAAACACATGCAGATTTGCTATCCCAACTTGCTGGAATCTCTCAGGCACCGGCAAGTTGTATTTCTGTTCTGCAAAGAATACCAACGGAAAAGGAGACAGAATTTTTTTATCGCATGGTCTTAACTGGGATGGATTATGAGCCACAAGTTGGAGATCTTATTGCCTTGACACAAGTTAAACCCAAATGCATCGATGATCTTGATCGACCAAACAGCCGTTTTCTCATTGCTTATGTGACTGAGTTAGACGACCAACATTACCCAGTGAATATATATATTTTCTCATCAGACCTTATCGAACTCAATGAAGTTGAGACACAGAACCCATCAAAGGCTTTTTCTGTTCATCTGACGAACTTGACTACAAATATGCGTATATGGAGAGCTCTTAATTGGAAGGGTAACATGAGTATCATTGAAAGAACATTGTCGTCGAGTTCCCCTGTAAGTCTTTTTTGGCAGATATATAGATCATAAATATAGAATCATATTTTACATTGTGAAGTTGTTAGTGACTGATTAAATTTTTTTTGTTAGGTCCTTAGTGATAAAATACAGTTATATGAAAACTTCTATAGTTTAGGAAGCTTAGAGGTAGTTTAGGAGTCTTCAATATTAGTGGTAGATATAGATTTCAACTCTTATATATAATTGTCCTAAAAGTATTTCACGTGCGCTGATTATTTTATATCATGGAAAGTATGAAAACGATAAATAAATTTTAATCTGTTCTTTTCTACGTGCCTTAGTTATGCTATTATCAAAAAGATTTCTTTCAAGATTAAGTTACATACCACTTTTTTGATCAACAAGCTTCGATTCAAAATGCCACTTTTTTGTCCATTCCTCACTTTCAGATACTAAACGAGAAGCTTCACATTACTCCTACCGTTTCACTTGCAGGGGATGATAAAATACAATTATATATTTATATGGATACTTCTATAGTTTAGGAAACTTAGAACGTTGTTAACGAGTCTTCAATATTAGTGATAGATATAGATTACTTGTCCTATAAACTTTAATCTGTTCTTTTCTACTAAGTTTTCATTTAGATAAAATATGCAGATACCTCGACTATAGTTTATTACTTTTTTAATATGCGTATATATACAGGTGGCTACAAACTGTAAGGAGTCATATTGTGAAGGAAGAAACGAGGTTATTGACTCAGAACTAAGACCAGCATTTGATTCATTTAATCTTGATAGCTCACAAGGAGAAGCTGTGTTAAGTTGTCTTGCTACTAATAGATGTTGGCATCAAAAGTGTATCAAATTGATTTGGGGTCCTCCAGGGACTGGAAAGACAAAGACTATGGCTTCATTATTGTTCATGTTGTTAAGGACGAAACAAAGAACGCTTACTTGTGCTCCCACAAATGTTGCGGTGGTAGGAGTTGCAGAGAGGGTATTGAGTATAGTACGCGATCATGATCTGGGATGCCATACTTATGGATTTGGAGACATAGTTTTATTTGGTAACGAAAAAAGAATGAAGATTCATGATGATCATCGAAAGCTTCTTGATGTGTTTCTTGACAACAGAATCAGAGCTCTTTCTAGCAGTTTATCGCAATGGAAATTTCGCGTGAATGGTATGATTAAGTTTCTTGAAGATCCCATGAACGAATACCACCGTTTGATTGTTTCTCCAAAATTGAATATAATCAAGACTAAAACCAAGAAGAAAAAGGAGAGAAAACCCCACGAGAATAGTGAAGAAAAGCAATTAACTTTTGAAGAGTTTGCCATGAAAAGGTTTACTGTTTTTGGAAAGGATCTTATTTCTTGTATCAGAAGCTTATATACTCATTTGCCTACTTCAACCGTTTCACTTGCTTACGCAAAAAAAATGTATCATTCAATCGATTTGATTCAGATGGTTGTGGAGTCTGTGAAGGAGATTGTAACTAATAACAAAAGCTTAAATGAAGCCTTCAATGAAACAGCTGCTTCAAGCGTTGGTGAACTGCATTTTATCAAGTTAAGATTATGTAAAGCTGAATGCCTTCTTGCACTCAAAGAGCTTCGCGATGCATCTGTCATTCCGAAACCTATGAACATATTTAAACTTAAAAGATTTTGTTTGAATAGTGCTTGTTTGATCTTCTGCACTGCGTCAAGCTCTATCAAATTGAGTATGAACAAAATGATGCCTATAGAATTGGTTTTGATCGATGAAGCTGCACAACTTAAAGAATGTGAATCCCTAATCCCTTTGCGGCTTCCAGGTGTTCAAAATGCTGTGCTTGTTGGGGACGAAAGGCAGCTTCCATCTATGGTTCAAAGCAAGGTCATGACGAAAAATGTATCTTTTGTGAACGAAACTGTCACTAAAACTGTACTTTTGCCAAGACACTTGTGGAATCAAAAGAAAATGCATCCACTTGTTTTGTTGCAAATAAGTTACAGTGTGACTGTCATATTAGTTGCAAGAGTTTCAATTTGGAGTTATTTCTGCTATTTTCTTATTACTGACACTTTGATGAATTTGTTTTATACTCGATAGATTTGCGAAGAGGCTAATTTTGGAAGGAGCTTATTCGAAAGACTAGTGTTATTGGGACATGAAAAACACCTACTAAACGTTCAGTACAGGATGGATCCATCAATTAGCCAGTTTCCCAATGCTGAGTTTTACGACAGTAAAATATTGGATGGTCCTAATGTCACTAATAAAGGTCGTGAAAAGCATTTATTGCGACACAGTATGTATGGATCATACTTGTTCATCGATGTAGATTCTGCAAAAGAGGAACTCGACAATAACCATAGCACTAGAAACATGGTGGAAGTCTCAGTGATAGATGAGATTGTTGCAAATCTTTTCAATGGTACATCATTTCTAGTTTTGTGTTCTTTAGTCATATATAGTAAGTTATAAACACATTTTATTTGACAGAATGTGTTGCGAAGAAACAAAAGGTTACAGTTGGCTGCATTTCTCCATACAAGGCTCAGGTCAATGCGATTCAAGTAAAACTTGGCAAGAAGTATAATCGACAGGTGAATGGTTCAACTTTTACTGTGAATGTAAGATCTGTTGATGGGTTTCAAGGTAGCGAAGAAGATGTCATAATATTCTCGACAGTAAGATGTAACTGGAAAGGAAGTGTCGGGTTTCTTTCCAATCGTCAAAGGGCAAATGTAGCCTTAACCAGAGCTAGACATTGCTTGTGGATTGTGGGAAATAAAGAAACCATGATCAAGAGTGGTTCAGTATGGACGACTTTAGTTTCCGATGCCGAAGACCGTGGTTGCGTCTATAGTGCTAGCGAAAACAAGAACTTGGCTCAAGCCATGGTGCAAACCATGGTTGAGTTAGCCCAGTTTGGCCCATTGTTAAAAAAAGATTCAATACTTTTTAAAGATGCAAAATGGAAGGTACAGTATTCAAACTTAACTTTTTAACGTCAATCATACTATTTTTTTAAGGCAGCTAGCGTTTGTTGCACGTGCTACATGGTACAAAACTTGACTTGATTACAATACAAATGATAGTAAGCCTACCACATAAAATAGATATGGTCTCAAATGCCTCTATATATATATTATATATGTTGGAGTATGTTTTCTCTGGTCAAGACTCTTTTGTAGATAGAATCTAGGAGTCCACATATTGAATTAATAGACTAGATGAGAACAGTTATGTTTTGTTTACCAAGATGAGATATATATCTATTTCAGTTTAATGCATGTCAAAGGCAATACATAGGCCATATTTTTTGTCATGTCTTACTTAACAAACAGGCTTTCACCCTTATAAAAGTTAAATATGTTGGATTTACGGCAGGTGGACTTCACCAACACATTTTTGGAAAGATTGGCTAGTATTGAGAGCCTTCATGTTCGTAAGCAAGTTATATCACTTCTCGTTAAGCTCTCTAATGGTTGGCGCCAACTCCAGAAAACCAATAAGAACACTTTTAGCAACACACGGGGAATTTGTGACATGTTAGAGGCATATAATCTCGATGGGCGTTTGTATCTTGTTTGGAGTGTAGACATTGTCTATGAGAACTCACTTTGTGCTCAGGTTTTAAAGATTTGGGATATTTTGCCGTTGTCTCAGATACAACAATGTGCAAAAAGTTTGGAGCAGGTTTTTGGAAATTATACATTGGATATGATCAAACGTTGTCAAACAAAATGTTCTGGAAGGTATGTGTAAAACATTATGTTTCATTCGTGCTAAAATTTGTTTTAGTTTAACTGTGTTAAGTTGATTGTAGAAATCAAGCTTTACCGATGACTTGGCCCGAGGATTTGAGAAATCATCTGAGTAGGGATTTAGCAAGTCAATTCGACAAACTGAGTTTAAGTGGTGAAACTTTACCTAGTTGGCGTAGAAGTGTGAGAGCTCAAGGTCAATGGATGGAAGTAAAGAGATGAACCAATGGTTGTTGATATGCATATGCTTTTAGGTGTGATGTCGAAGGAAAATGTGGATAGTTTTGTTTACATGTCATTTTTTTGGGAACAAGAAAATGAATTTTCTTCTCAACTGTACATCGATTATGTATGTGAAATTTGACTTGATTTGGATCTAATTTTAAAGTATAATGGTGATTGTTGAATCTAATCGTTTTGAAGTTCACTTATACCGCTCCTCACAGTTCATTTGGGCTATAAAGGACTGAACGTTCGGTAGGAAATTTGTTTATCTTTGTTTTTTTAGTAAATTAATGAACATGAACAAGATTTTTTGTTCATTTAGTTAAACAAACATGACATTAATTTCAATAGTTCATTTATGATTGTGCACGTTTGTGTATGTTCGCTCATTTAGATTCGTTTATAGTTTGTTGTTTACGTTCTTACATGTTTGCTTGTGCATTTGTTTATGTTTGGTTATTATACTATGCTATTTATTATGGATGTGCATTTGGACCGAATACCGGAACCGAAACCGAAACTCGGACCGGACCGACCCGAATTAGGACCGAATAAGTTACTTGGGTCGGTTCTCGGGTATCTATTTTTGCCCAATTCGGGTTTCGGGATATTCGGTACGGGTTACCCGAATAAAGGTTTAATCGGGCCAACAAGACCGATCCGGAAAGTGAATAGTCACTTGAACCGAATAACCCAAATAAACCGAAATGACCTGAATAACCCAAATAAACCGAAATGGTCCGAATAACCCAAATAACGAAATTCTATATTTAGTTCAAGAAAAAAAATATTAAATTAATATTTTTTTTCTTGAGCTAGATATAGAATTTCCTTATTTGGGTTATTCGGTTCAAAAACACAATGCAAATGTTTATTTGGGTTATTTCGGTCCTTTCGGGTTAATAACCGAACTGAAACCCGTATTACCCGAACCGAACCGGTCCGGGTTTCGGGTCCCACTTTTCATCCAATTCGGGTTTCGGGTTATTCGGGTTCGAGTCGGTTTCGGCCCGAAGCACATCCCTACTATTTATAATATTATAAAACTTGCTAGAGTGAAAGTGGAGTTCTATTTATTATCGGACCAACCCATTTAGTTCTCATAATTAAGAAAATACTTATGTTCTTATATTCTTGCTTCTCATGAAGCTCATACATACCATTAATACGCTCAGATTCCAAAATCATTTCGGTGCACCATATCTACGTCCTAGTTAAGGTGACAATTCAAGAATGTATCTTTAAATCCATTTTGTCATGCTTATCACTACTAGAAAACAGGTATTTAATGACACATGAATTATGAGACACATTGTATTTATGACACGCAAAAGTGTCGTAAAACAATGTCATCTATTACAAAAATCGAAGGATTTACGAGACGCATTTTTGTGTGTCCTAAAATTAGGTGTCGTTTTATATTTTTTTTAGATAGCACGTCCTCCTCTTTAGTAGCTGGTGTGAAAAGAAAATCCCCAAAAAACTTAGAAAACCCCGCCCTTGTTTGTTTCTCCTATACTTCCAATTCCATCTAGGGATTTTTGCTCTAGACCTCACATAAGCTAACCAACAAGAGTGCATTATGTGTCGTTCTTACGTTTTTTAATTATCAATACATACCACAAACACCAAAATCCACACCCTCATTCTCCCTTCAATCGATCACAGGTCCTTCCTTCTTCTCACTTCGATCGATGAACCGGGTCACCCAAAATCATAGCTTCTCTTGTTCCTTTCTCGAAATCGATCACACCTCCAAGAATCGCAGGTATTTTTTTTTTCTCCTTTTCTGGTTCGATTACAACCCTTCTTATTATTTCTCTTTTTCTTCTATTTACAGTGATGTTGTGAGGTGGCGTTTGAAGGTTGTGAAGGGGTTTTGAGGAGATGATGATTGGTGATTGTTCGGTGATGGAGAAATAAGGGTGTGTTTGTGTGGGTGATTAACAGGGGTTCCCGATGTTGAATGTAGTATGTATGGCAATTCAACCGGGAGGTTGCGGACCTAGTATGTAGTATGTATGGCAATTCAACCTGGAGGTTGTGGGCCAAGGCAATCCAACCGGGACGTTGTGGGCCAGGGATAATCCAATCGGGAGATCGTGGACCCAATGAGTGTTACAGTCCGATGATTGGACCCGGTGCGCATGATTGTATATGTTATATGTTTGTGTGGTGGTACTTTGGGGGAACTCACTAAGTTTTGGCTTACATATTCAGTTTATTGTTTCAGGTACTTCTGATGATCGTGACAAGGCAAATGTGTGATCGTGCACATCATCCTAGATTTTATAAGATTATGATTTTGGGATACTTTGATTTATGTTTATGATTTGTGGAAACTATGTTTTGTAAACACCTATGGTTTTAGATTGGTTTTAAAAAAAATGAAAATTTTTACATGGATAATTGGGATGTTAGAATATTAGATTTAAAAAAACATGTCGTATTAGGAAGAACTTCACTTCCCTTTTGATTTTCATTAATAAGACTCAACTTTACGACATCATCATTTGAAAAAGGAAAGGAAGTATTTAACAAAATCATGAGGCTGAATACCGTTCTTGAAATCTGCTTGTGTCAAGTTACTTGAGAAAGAGGAGTTAGAGTTTGAAACACATGTGATTTTATTGTCTTTTGAATAACCAATGAGTTTAAAATTAACATCCTTCAATTGTATGTCTCTTTAGACCATAATGTTTATAAAACAAACTATTCTTAGTGGGGGCTTGGGAGTGCATTTTAAAATAACTTATTGGCTTTTCAAAAAGCTAATAAGTTAAAAAGATGTTTGGTAACACTAACTTTTTAAACAAAATTAAGCTTAAAAATGACTTTTCCAAAAGACCATGAATTCATGGCTTTTCCAAAAAAAAAACAATAAGGAGATTTAGAAGCTATCCCAAACACGTCCTTATTATTCTTTGACAAAATTGCAAAAATGGTCTCTATGATATACATTTTTTCTGGGTTTTGATCTAAACCTCAATCTTTATTAATCGGTGGTCCTTTTGACACTACTACAAAAATATCATTTAACGAGGCGCAATGCGTGTCGTAAAACGCTCAGATGACACGCAAATGTGTGTCAAGGAATGCCTTGTCATAACGAAAGACGACACACTTTTGCACGTCGTAAACTTACGACATGCATTGTGTGTCAAGGAAGGTCTTGTCATAAAGGAAAACGACGTGCATTTGCATGTCGTAACCGTACGACGGATATTTACGACTTGCATTGCGTATCACTGAAACCCCTGTCATAACGAAAGACGACACACATTTTTGCATGTCATAATTTTTAATGTTTCAAAAAATATATAATTTTATAGGTTTACTATTTCTTTCAAATTAAATGACAGTTAATGTTCCATCATAGAAAATAATATTTCATAAACAAGAAAAGACAATCCATTTCACATTATATAAGTATTTCAAATACAAATAATCTCTCAAATGCTAAATAAATGCAATACATTGCATGTTTCACATATAAAAAAAATCTTTAGTGTCATTGGTTTGCCACAAGGTGTATCAGGTAAAATGTTGAATGTGGTGACATGGGCGGTTGTCCGCCTGGTGGTATCGATGGCAAGTTCTTGGAGCTGACATGTTAAACACAAATAACATGTTAGATGATATTAAAAAATAAATGAGAAGCTGACGAAGAGGTAACAAAAACAAAAGAAAAAACAACTTAAATTTTGATAAACTTTTGTTGAATTTAGACTTTAAAATTAAAAAACTTACCTTACTGTTATAAAAACTCCATAAATAAAGATAGTTGCCCTACCCCATAGTCACTACATTATATCTTATACCTGCATAAACACATGCTTTCAGTTTCACGATTTATAAAAAAGACTAAAATACCCTTCAATGCTCTATGAACTTAGTGATAATTGCATTGAATTTTGACATGATGATATATGGATGAAAAATATAAAAACTGCATATTCTAAAAATCTAAAAAAATGTTCAGAGATATCAATTAAAAGTTTAAATTTGAAGCAATTTTTTGGTGATTTTTATACCTTGGCATTTGGAAGTAACATGAATTGATAGAACCATGCATGTCGATGGCGGTTGAAGAGGTGGGAGGGTGGTGGTTGGTGGCAGCACCCTGCAATTTAAACAAGAAACACACAATCCAAGAGTGATTTCCATCTTCCCAGGTTTCTTATGAACAAAATAAAAATAAAAAAAGGTACAAAGTTGTGATTAGTTGTGAATGATCTCCATTCTATCCAACCATACAAACAAAACCTGCACCATATATTTCACAGTCCAATTAGTCCACCTAAATTATAGGAATGCTTACCAAAGTGATTAGTTGCTAAATGAAGACAAACTTATCGCATTAATCATAACCAAATCTACTAGAATCAAACATAACATGACATTGTGCAAAGGGTGCAGAAAACCATCCATTGTAACTAAACTATCATCACAAGAAACACTAATAACATTGCACTTTCCATTCTTCAAACAATTATCAGTAAATTTAACACATTGGAGAATTCAAGAAATGAAAGCATATGGTTTAGTCTCTCTATTATCACATATTCAACAATCATCAAGTCATATTTTCAAGACTCCAACTTTGGTAAAGTCAAATAATGAGTTGCTAGACGACATGAAAGGTCAGAATTACCCTCCTGCAAAACATATTTTGGATGTGAACCTGATATGTTTTTTTACAATGCATTGATTCATGGTTTATATATGAAGGGTAGATACAAATACTTGCAAAACATCAAGTTAAATGGAGTATGTATCCCCAAAAAAACTTAGTAGGTAAAATGGGGAAATGGCTAACACTTTAACTGTCATATGTGACATAAACGCAATTAAAAAAAAAAGTTTGACCATGAAAAACTCTAATCCTACATTTTTTAACAAGTGAACACAAAAAAAAAATTAGACTTCTCTAGAGAAAAATATTTATTCAAAACATGTAAAGGGGCTAGAAAAAAAAATACTTTAAAGAAAAACATAGAAAGTTTTGAGTAAATTTTTCTTCAAAACTTTCCTCACGATTGAAGATTTGGAGGGAAAGGAACCAGCAGATCTTATGAACTAATTTAATAACAAAATTACCCAATTTCCTTCTCCAAATTTTTTTAAAGAAAACACTACATCCATATAAACCAACTTATTAGAGAGAAATGTAACACCTGTAAATTTAATATATCAATTATTTAAACAATACAACTAAGAGACCAAACAGCTAAACTCCTAAATATACTGTTAATGACACTGCTCTGCTCAGGAGAAAAAGAAAACTATACATCTTGAAGTTATTGTACATTGAACATATCAAATCTTAAAGTATATAAACTATGCTTCAAAAAATTAAACACTAATTTACTGTGACTAATTGTAGTGGTGTTGATTATGATGGCATGTGCGGAATTAAAAAAGATCTAGTGAATTATCATAGAAAATCAAGAACACATGAAGTAAATAAATATGGGTATAGCTCTCATTAGTATTGATAGAAAGAGTACAAATTGGTCTTGCAATTTTTCTCTCTAAACTAATGCTCTCAAAGTGTTCATTTACATAATGGGAGTCACTCACTTCCTATTTGTAGGAAAGACTCAACTCATTTACACATACAAGAGGGTAAACCTAAAACTCCACATCCAGGCGTGACTTTGCCTGTAATCTAATTTCGAAGGCTGAAAGGTTGATTTCGAAGGGAGAAGATGACTTTGATGTCAGTAGTTATGGGACATGATATCGAAGGTTTTGATAACGAAGGTTTTGATGTCGATAGTCGATTTTTTTTTGGAATAGCGAAGTTTTTTTTATTGCTAACAGCGAAGCTTTTTGATCGCGAAGGTTGAGTATTGGAGTGTCGACTGTCGAAGATTTTTATGTGTCGACATTAGCGACTGTTTCACGACTTGGAAAGAAGGAAGAAACCAAAAGTTTCGAAATTGGTCCTTCAAATTTCGACTACATGACAGTTTATACACATTTCGAAATGAGGACTAAATTTTCGATATTTTGAAGAATTGGGCAGAAATTTCGAAGTTGGTCCCTGCAGTTTCGAAATTTTGACAGAATATACCAAATTTCGAATTTGGTGTAATAAAGCTGAGAAATTGAAGAATACTCATTTCTAGTCCCTGTAGTTAATTCGAATTTACACTTTATGCCCAATTTTGCAAATGGGGTAGAGTTTCGTATTTTAAGCTGTTTTTGGCGCAATGGGTCCCTGCAGAATTCTGTTATTGACAGTTTTTACCCGATTTTGGAAAATCTTGCAACTTTCACCCAAAAAGTCAAAAAATTTCACAAATTGGAAAATTTTTTGAGGCTTTTTCGTGAGTGTTTTTCCGTGCAAGTTTTTCAGGTTTTTCATTTTTGGTACATATCAAGGGGGAGTATTGTGAAGATTATTCATCGGGCGCTTCTCACCCTTAATGGGTTTTATAATCATGTTTTGATTATAAAAAGGGGGAGAAGGATGAGTGGGTATTCGAAGCGGGTTTTTCGGTTATTCATTTGCGGATTTGAAGACCAATGTTACTTCGAGGGGGAGTTTGGTCTTGATCGTGCGAGCTCGTTGGATATTGAAGTCAGGACATCCAATCCTAACTTTGAGGGGGAGAATGTTAGGGTGCAAAATCACACTTGGATGTGGAGTTTTAGGCTTACCCTCTTGTATGTGTAAATGGGTTGTATGTGTAAATGAACACTTTGAGAGCATTAGTTTAGAGAGAGAAATTGCAAGACCCATTTGTACTCTTTCTATCAATACTAATGAGAGTTAAACCCATATTTATTTACTTCATGTGTTCTTGATTTTCTATGATGATTCACCAGATCTTTTCTAATTCCGCACATGCCATCATATTCAACACCACTACACTAATCAGGCTAGGCAGGGGTCAAATTAGTAGGATTTTTATCCCATAAATTTCATTGATAAATTAAGTTGCCCAATGTGAAACCAACTAAAGGATTTTATTTCAGAAAACATTTAGATCCAAATTAAAATCAATGCCTTTAATTTCAGGTTTAAAACAATATCAAACTTTGTCCTACCCTTGCATTTACAACTTTGCAACCAAATATTTACCAAACCAATTACTAGTACAGTCATGTTGCAGTTTTTTTAATTCTTCTTCAATAACTTGCAAAACATGAGGTGGGATGTTATCCTTTTGGCTCAATTCTGTCTCTAAACTTATCTGCAGTACATAATTTCAAGATATGAGTTATTCTCTTCATACTACGCTGGGCAGATGGAAAAAGGATTAAAAAATCAACTTTTAGAACTAAATTGTATATAGTTTACTGTAGGAACCTATGCATCTTCTCGAACACGCAAATTTTGTTCAGTTTTCATCGTATCATTACATTCTTTTTTGTTTCCTTGATTAATAATGGAGAAATCCATATTGCGTACCAAATGCATAGGAGGTCACTGGATTGTACTCGTTTCGAACAAGCTTATCTCCATCGGCATACCAAGAAACTTCATCTCCTCTCTGATACTCTCGTTCACTACAATATCAACAAATTAGATATTATGTCACCAACGTTTTATCAAAACCCTAACTCACCTAAAATCGAGATTAGGTATAGATCTAAATTCAATTTTAGATCCATCAATAAATCAAATTACCTTAATGGTCGAAACCGAATCGTTACAGAAATGCTATCACCTCCTCCTAATCTTGGCATACTATCAACCGGATCTCCAATAAGCTCATCCGCAGACGGAAAACCGACTGGTGATCGACCTCCGTAACCTCCTTTGGAATACATCAAATCTGACCTAGCCACACCAGGAGTAATGGATCTGTAGCCGTAACCGTTACCAGAAGCCGCGTAGAACGATGTAGTTGCGGAAGAGGAGCATGAGCAAGGAATGAGCTGCTTATTAAAAGAAGACGTTGATGAAGAGAGAGTTGAGGAGTTCGTCGGAGGAAGCTTTGGTTACATGTTGAACGCTTAGGGCAAAGAGGGAAGTGAAAGCGGGCTTTTCTAAGCTTTTCTTTTTCCGCTTGTTACTACAGAACGCACGTTTCATTAAAAATTATAAAACGACATGTTTAGATGACACACATTTTATAATAAGCTCCCTCCATGTTTTTTTTCTGACACTAATTTTAGGGCACGCAAAAATGTGTGTCCTAAATCCTTAAAATTTCTAGAGACCTGGCATTATTTTTAGGTCACACACTTTTACGTATCATAAATCAATGCGTATCATAAATTGCGTGTCATTAAAGGCTTACTTTCTAGTAGTGTGACCATGTTTGTATGTGGTTTTAGTCCCTCCAAAAACTCAAATTATTATAATACCCTTGTATATTTATTTTCTAATTTTCTTTTATTCTTTATCTATTTAAATAATTTAAAATTAATAAAAGACATCTCTCTCTCTCTCTCTCTCTCTCTCTCTCTCTCTCCTAAAAAACTAAATTGTTCCCCCAACCCCCATCTATTTCTCTTTTCTCATAATTCCTTTGTTACTACCTTCACCATAATCCCCCACACTTCTTCTACCATCTTCACATTCATCTTCTGATCGAAATTTTGTAGACATACCACCATCCATACCCCATTATTGTTCTCCCTGGGATTTATTATGACCTACAAAATCAACTAACCTAATTTGATTAGTCTTTGAAATATCTGCTCTCTTTTCTTTTTCTGTAATATCAGTAAGTTTCCAAAAAAAAAACTAGACCAACAAATTCTGAGGTTTTTGGTATGCTCATCGAATATAGTGAAACATCCCAAAAATACGGTCCAAAAATTTCAATTTTAATTATTAATAAAACCATAGTTATCAAAACATCACATAAAATCATAAGCCATTGTTTCTCAAAACATCATAAACATCTATCAAACATATCAGAGTAAAAACATCCCAGGCTAAAATCATGGTGTGTGCACTGCAGTCATCCCGAGCTCTTCTCTTTGCTACCGGAAGTACCTGAAACCAAAACTGAAAATTGTAAGCACGAAGGTTAGTGAGTCTCCTCAAACTAACACATATCATACACGTAATCATATAATCACATAATAACATACATTGGGCCTTGCCCGCTACATCGGGCCCCGCCCGACATCGAACCGACGTCCAGTATACATATAAACATATCAACAAATACATATAAACATAATCACATAACATAAACATATAAACATTCCTCGGGCCCCGCCCGGCATCGGACTGAAATCCGGAAACATATAACATAAACATATAAGCATTCCCCGGGCTTACCCCGACATCGGACCGAAGTCCAGAAACATATAAACAAACACATGCAAGAATCACGAAGACATCAAGCATACAAACATTCCTCGGGCTTTCCCTGGCATCGGACCGAAGTCTGAAATCATATAAACCTACATCGGGCTACCCTCGGCATCGGACCTAAGCCCGAAACATACTAGCATACATATACGGGCCGACATTGGTGCCTTTGACCCGTTCATACAGGAGGAAACTCACCTCGTACTGCTGAAGTCCTGCGGACAAAACTCTAGTTGTTGGATGACAGATTCCCGATTTGTCAACATCAAATCGACACCCAATTAATAATTGGGTTCCAATACTTAACCATAAGTCCAAGCTTAGGGTAAAATACTACTTTAACCCTACCTAGCTTGATTCAAGCCCAAGGCCCAAATTTAGACCCCTGAAGGCCCAAAAGCCAAATAAACAACCAAGGCCCAATTATGGCCCAATTTTCCAAATTGGGCCCAAACCCCTCACATGGGCCTTACTCTAGAGCCCATCCAAATTCCCTAGTCCATATACATGTTAATAGTTGGCCCAACAAGAGTCCACACATCTAGGCCCAACTCAAAACCCAACACAATTAGGGTTTTCACATGAAATGACGATTAGGGTTAATTAGAAACACTTAACCCATTAAGGACTTAATCTATTAAGTCCAGCAATCTACTAGGTCAATTATACAGTGTGGTTGGACATAATTCATAATTCTAGTCCAACAGTCCAAATGCGGGTTCCGGCAAACCAAAACTAACATCTCCCAAAATTTAGGGTTTTTTAAACCCTAATTCGGGTTTCCAACCCAATCACAAGCCAACTAAGTCCAATATTAAGCTATTGGGCCGATTAGGGTTTCACTAGGTCGAGCACTACCCACTGCCACCTCGGGCGGTGGTGGTCGACAGCGGTGGTGGTGATCTTCTTCACTTTTGACCAAGAAAACTGATATAACATTCACCATTAAAACACGCACATAGTATACACACACAACCACCTCTACACGGTAGTTGGTGGTGACTCAAACGATGGCAGAAAACGACAACCACCATGGTTGGCTGCCATGGTGGTTCGCCTCACCTCCGGCCAACACTCTTCATGGGTTCTAGCAGCAACACATGTAAAACACGACATGAAACCACCACTCTCAGCCACCCACTTGGTGGCTGACGCCACTGAGGTTAACAGAAACGGCAGCCGAGGTCGGCAACAATAGCAATAACCATGTCGCGCACACAAGGAGGAACAAAGGACTTACTGAGAGCTTCCGGCGGTGGAACGGAATAAAGACGGGAAGCGAAGGGGTGGTCGCAGCGGAGAATGAAGGTCGCGTCTTCATCGGAGGAGGACAGCGGCCGCCCACTGCTGGCGTCTATGTGCTGCCCTTCGTCACCGTCGGCAGCTTCACCAGCGGTTTGGCTTCGATGGTTTCCAGCTTCAACGGCAAGGAGGCGGCGGATAGAAGGGCTCCAAAAATGGTGGCGGCTGAAGGAAGTTACGCTAGGGCCAGGGTTCTTTAACTATACTCGTTCAACAAGAGGGGGGAAGGGGATCGGGTTAACCCCGTTACTCCAATACAACTTTATACAAATTTGACACAATCGGCCCCTCCCATCCATAATCTTTTCAAATTAAATCCATAATTTTACAATTTAGCCCCCATCACTCCAAAGTCCTTTCAATTTAATGACTAATAATTACCATGCAGCCCCTGTCTTCAAAAATCCTTTCAAATTAAACCCATAATTTACTAAACAACCCTTAACCTTCAAAATCCAATACAAATTAATCCGAAAATTACATTTTAACCCCTCTCAATTATGACTTTTTAACCCCCAAAACCAACGCCTTGCTAAATTATTCCGCATTTAGGGCTACTATTCATTTATTAATTTTATCTATTTATTTATTTAATAAACGGAATGTTACAATTCTCCCCCACATAAATTAGATTTCGTCCTCGAAATCATTCTTTACCAATTTTGTCACACCAAACAACTTGAGCATCATGGCCACAATCCCGAGTATACCCCAGTCTTCCCGAGGTAACCGGTACCAACCCTTGCAGGGCTCTACAACCCGAAGATGAACGAATTCTTGCAACGTAATCACATTTACTCAATCTGAAATCCGCAGTCTTGAGATGGTCTGACTCTGTGATAAACTGTCCATAGTGAATTATTGTCGAATCCAACCAACTTGTTTCCCAACTGGCTACTCTACTTCTGATAGCTTGATGTCCTCTCTAGGTAACAGAATCACTTACCAATTATCTTTGCATATCACTTACACTTGACCAAGGCTCAGATAATCCTTCGAGTAAGAGACTCATCCCTACAACAGGGTTAGACTAATCCCTTATGCGGTTTTGGGTGCGGTTTTGCCGCACTCTTTGCCACATAGGCAGGGGAACATTGCCCCATATGCGGTTTGGGTGCAGTTTATCGCACCTCTCCCTTCAAATGTCCTGCTTTTTTATTGCTTAAATGGGTGTATGACTGTTGAAAGGTCAAATGCCTAATATATCTACCCTAATAAATAAGAATGATTTTGCCACATGTTCTTCTCTTATTCAATTGGCTACATGTCATTTTGTCGTAATTTTGAGATATATTTATTTTCCACTTCTCATTTACTTCATTTTTCATTTCCAATATATCATTAATCTAGTTTCCATTAATTAAACCTATTATTTTTTATTTAAATTTAGATTTCAATTTTAGACAAACTTACAGTTTAAACCTTTGCATTTAACATTTTGTTATAATTAACTCGTTTAGTACATGGATCTGACAACTAAACACATAATTTTAATTTATTTATTTTTTGCATGTTTTTTCGCATAATTTTCACTTATTTTAGATTTCAAATTCAAATAAATTTCCCATTTAATAATTCCTATTAAAATTTTGTTTTAATTAACATGTATAATATACGGGTCTCACAACTAGTATATATATAATATATATATATATATATATATATATATATATATATACACACACACACATTTTTTTTTACGTATAAAACCCAACTTTCACCCTTTCTTCAAACCAAAACCAACTTTTTACATCTTTTTATATATTTTTTCTCTCAAAATCAGCAGAAAATGCCTTCGTCTTCGTTGTCTGAATAATTTCAAATTATTTTTGATGTTGTTGTCGCTTGTGCTCAAATGGTTGAGCAAGCGTATGCCACTTTATGTAATAACGATGTTGAAAGTTCTCAATGGAGAACACGAAGATATATATTTATAGAAACCGTGAAGAAGCCAACCAACGCTTGATATAAGACTAATTTCAGGAGAATGACACTTTGCAAGGGTACTATTTTCAAAGGTGATTTAGAATGTTCAAACATTTATAAGAACGTATAGTTGGAGATTTAACGAGGGAGTGTAGTTTTTTCCAACAACGTCCCGATGCTAGAGGTACACCCGGTTTCACTCCCTTACAAAAATGCACATCTACACTTCGTCAATTAGCATACAGCGTCATGCCTAATGCGTTGGACGACA